CTGTTCTACTACTTTACTGTTTTACTCCTTTATTTATAAAACTGAAAATAATAGATTTCTAAAATCAAATATGCAGAGACAATACATTTTCGCAGATTAAAAAAATCAATCAACAAAATAATAGTGTTACTTTTTCATTGTTTGTTACCAGTTTTTAATTTTTCCAGTTCCAAAGATTAATAAAATTTTGATTTAATAGTAAATTTTTTTTCTTATTCACGGTTTTAAAATAAAAAAGGGGAGAAAACTATAAAATAACTCACCTATTCACTACGCAATCAAAAATTTCATCTATCATTTCTTCTTTATATACATGCGAAAGACTTTTTAATAATTTTATTTTGATAGAAATAGAAAGCAGAGTCGTCCACAAGTGTTATAGGAGTAACATTACTAAAAGCTTGCTGGAAAAACCATGACTGTTTCATTATTTTACTGACAAAAGCTCCATTTCCTTATTTAAAAATTTCCAATAGTTGGTTCGTTGCTCTAAAGTATATCAAAATATCAACATAAAATAAATTCTCTAGGTACGTCTTTGAACTGAGGTTTTCGCATACAAACTGTGTTTCCTCTTTACTTAAGGATGCGTTTTTCAGAATCTTGTTCAAATTTCTTTGACGTTCTCCAATTGGATCCCCTTTTATTGCATGAAATCGTATTATAAAGTCGTGCTCCATGGTAAATTCACTATAGTGAAAAAAGTCTATATTCAGTTTATTAGTTTGTGTAGCATAACTCAAATTCACAAATATATTTCTTAGTCGTTTCCATAAATTCTATTATAGACTAACTAATAAAACATCTACAAATTTTATAAGAAAAAAAAATCAAAAGCCACTTTGTAATACTAGCGACACATAAATATCATTTCTTAGTTAAAATACCATAACAGTTACAGTGTCAACAAGTATTTGAATTGGAAATAAAAATTAGTTATGCTACACCTGTGTGTCTTAGAAATGGGATATTTTAGAACAAATGGTTATACAATTTTCTTTTGAAAATGCTTTATCAATAATTCTTTATAATATTTTACAGTGCTTATGAAAAAAACATCCTGTGTATGGATGGCTGCTCCGTTTAAAAATTTTCAGCCTAATATCTCAAAAATTTAAGTTTTTTAAAAACAGTTAAACGTATAAATGTCTTCATTTCTGAGTACAGATGACTTTTCATAGCAATACAGATAGCGTCAGCCCATCATCATCATCAGCCCATGATCCAAAGAAATATTTGAATAACAGGAACATATTGAAAAATAGTTCACACGAAAATTAATTAAATTTTGATCAACTCCTGTAATTTAAACAATTTTTGAAAATTCACCACTATCGTTTAATATTAAAAAAGTTGTTTAAACGTAATGGATAGCTTCCCAAAGATTTTAAGAGAAAATAGATTTTGAATAGATTTTTACAGATGTGGTGGAGAATACTGAAACCAAAAGACACGTGGATTAGGAATTCAGCAAATAATTGAAACTTCGCGACATACAGGGTATAGGTTGTATAATGTAAAGCATAAATATTTGAACATTACAAATATGCAAATACGTCGAAGGATATTTAACATACTTTGAAAATCGATAAGTTCTTTTAATTCCCAATTGTATCCCAAAGAAAAAATATGTTTCCCATTTTATTTGCAAAATGAGTAATTTAAGATTTATTTTTTTTTAATCTAAGCTTGATACCGATTTGAATAAAAAGAAAAAAGCTGTTCACTTCATAAAAAATATTTATAGTTTTTTTTTTGTTGCAAATACAGTTTTAAATATAATGTAATCAATCATTAAGAATAAAAAAACATTGTCCAGAAATTTTATATTGTCTAGGAGGTAATAAGGGCAAATTTCTGTCACTGTATATTCCTAACTTATAATGATTACATTGTATTTAAAATGGTACCTATTTGTAATAAAAAATTCCTACAATTTCTTTTTTTTTTTGGAACAGTTTTAGAATTGTTTTCGGTATGTTTGACTGTGTTTAGTTTAATTAATTTAATTATCTCGAAAATGATTTATTTTTTGATTACAATGAAAGAGATCTTTTATCTCTGAAATACCATCGAGAATCAAGTTTATGAACTTTATAGAGTTTCCAAAATAGTCAGAGGCTTTGAAATTTTGAGGTTCTTAATAACGGTGCCTACTAGTATTTTCAGCACTGGTTGATAGAATTGTATCAATAAATTTTACTCTTTTATTTGGTTAATCCAAGCAGAGCAGTATGCTATTCTGGACTACCTATCCAAATACATTAAATAATAGGATAAAATAATAAATAAAGGGCATTTCAAAATAAAACCGAACAAAATCATTAGTCCAATTAACTAAGCCTTTAAATCGAAATTTTGCCAACTTGGCTGAGTTTTTGATATGAGTTAGTTTAAGGTATATTATAACAATAAGTGAGAGTAATTTTTTGTTCAACCCCCGGCCAAGGGTGGAAAAAGATAAAACAAAGGGCTTTTTCAAGATAACTCAAAAAGGGTAAGAGCTAGAAAAAAAAGTTTTTCATGAAAGTTGTAAAGCAGACAATTCTACATAAAAATGGTCTCTTAGCTTTTTCTTGTACTATTAAAATTAACAGAGTTAGGGAGGCTAGAAGTTAAGGGAAGATTTCAGAAATTTAATTTTGTTAAATCATTAAAATTAACGATTAAAAATTTGATTTTTTGTTATAACTTTCTTATTAAAAATTAAAAAATATATCTATTTCTCTGAAAAGAAAAGTTACATATTTTAGAGCAGATTGAAAAAAAAAATTACAAAATTCAATCATTTTTCTGTTTGTTATGATTTTTTTTAAATTTCTGAAATCTTCCCTTAACTTCTAGCCTCCCTAACTCTGTTAATTGTAATAGTACAAGAAAAAGTTAAGAGGCCATTTTTATGTAGAATTGTCTGCTTTACAACTTTCATGAAAAACTTTTTTTTCTAGCTCTTACCCTTTTTGAGTTATCTTGAAAAAGCAATTTGTTTTATCTTTTTCCACCCTTGGCCGGGGGTTGAACAAAAAGTTACTCTCTTTTTTTGTTATAATATACCTTAAACTAACTCATATCAAAAATTCAGCCAAGTTGACAAAATTTCGATTTAAAGGCTTAGTTAATTGGACTACATAGATAAATTTAAGGAGAAAATTCCGAACAAAATGTAGTTGCAGATTCACATTGCACTTTGTTAGCTGTAATTGGGAATCTTTGACTTGCCTTTATTGTTCTTGGGCTAGACTATGTGGAGGCAGATCCGCTATCAGAATACTTACCTCCGCCCTGATGTTGATTTCGGGTCTTTTTGGTTCTTAGGCTACTATAGATAGATAAAATATTTGTCTTAAAATATTTTATGTTCGAAAAAAAAGTTAAATACAGCAGTCACTAAGACGTCTCAGATAACCATCAATATTGTTTGAGGAGAAATTTATCTACTTAAGACATGTTTTGTAAAATGTAGTATGTATAATAAACTCATTTTAAATTTAAAAAATTCTAAATTTTTTTCCTCTTATTGACAGTGATTCTCGGTATCTCCACATATTTGTAAACAAATTAAGTGAATTTTTGCCTTTAATCAGGGAAATTATTAACCCAAGTTTCATCTATTTATAATAAACATCTTCAGAGATATTTAATAAATATATTTTTTAAAATTCAACAACCTGTATCCCGAAAATCACTGATTTTAGATCCTTAGTTCTTGTTATTTGTTAGTTCATAGACAAATACTTTTTTTATTCTCTTTGCACAGCACACCTCTATTGTGATTTTGTTTTTGTTTTATTAACTATGCACCACGGTCCGTATCTTTTTTACGGATCGTGATTAACCACAACCTATTCAACTTTAACTATACAGGGTGTTTGGTAAGTCGATGCATTCTTTGCAGGAGGTTATAGTACAAGTGATTTGTGATGTATTTCCTTAATATACCATATTCCGAAAACGCTTAGTTTCCGATCTACAGGGTGTTAAAGTTTTAATAAAAAAATGCAAATTTATAAATATTGCGGAAACCGCTCTGAATATTTTAAAGAAATTTTACAGGCCTTGACAGTTAACAACAATACATGTTTTACGATAAAAATATTGTTTTCATTTTCACCAGTGGCGTGCGCACAGGCACGTCTCTGGATATTTATAAAGAAAAAAATGATACGCCACTGATTTTTCTTAATATAAAAATTATTTTTGAATTTCTTGTTCAATTTGAAAGAGAAAAGATATCTTGACTGTTTTTCTTATGAAGCACCGTTTTCGTGAAAAAACAATAAAATTGATTTATTGCTTGGCGTAATCCGGTTTCAATAATTTGAAAAATAGCAAAAATTATTTATGCACTTAGTTTTTTTTGTATCAATTTTATTACAACACGTTATTACTACCCGCAGTTCACGTCAGTCAAAAAGCTTATTCATTTAATTAGAGATTAGATTATATTATCTGTAATTTAAAACTAATCTTTAGGATTAAACAGTCGAGATACCTTTTCTCTTCTATTAAATAAGGAATTCAAAAATAATTTTCATTTTAAGAAAAATCAGTGGCGATCATTTTTTTTCTTTAAAAATAACCAAAGACGTGCCTGTGCGCACGCCACTGGTGAAAATTAAATCAATATTTTTATCGTAAAACATGTATTGTTGTTAACTGTCAGAGCTTGTAAAATTTCATTAAAATAGTCTGAGCGGTTTCCGCAATATTTATAAATTTGCATTTTTTAAATTAAAACTGTAGATCGGAAACTAAGCGTTTTCGGAATATGGTATATTAAGGAAATATATCACAAACCACTTGTACTCCTGCAAGGAATGCACCGACTTACCAAACACCCTGTATTTACCTATTCTGTACTTATATGTATGTAATATAGATTATCTAATGTTGTGCAATATAATTTTTAGATATTTATCATATCCATTTTTAACAAAAATACATTCTATTTAATAAATAATTATTAGCTTACAGATTAATATTTATAAAAAATGACCTACCCTATCTAAAAACAAATCAACAAATCTACTCTATCAGACTATCAGAGACAACTCTATACTCTATCAATTCCATACAAACAAACTACAAACATAACATAACCCAATGATATTTATAATACATGTATTATAAATATCCTTGAACATAACCTATCACGTCGTTAAGTTAAGGAATGGCCGGTGGCCGCTGACACTGACACATCTATTCAGGTAAACTCATAAAGTAAGTTACTCTTATGGGTAAACTAACATACACATAAACTCACAATTCTATTATATATTTTGTGCTCACAATGGAATGGATAAAAAAAGTAGTGTGATATCAGTCGGCAGCTACTGCTACTACCTTTGTAGAAAGTATGTACAGGAATGGAATGGATAAAGTAGATACTTTGACTGATAAAACATATACAGGGTCGGAAAGTCCCCATGGTTCATCCACTTCTTATTTGTGGAAGGGCGAAATGGGCGGTGACTATTGGACGCCTTCATTATAGCCATCTTTCTCTATCTCACGGATTTCTTTGACTTACTTTATCGCTCTCACGTAACGGCCGATGAACCATGGATACTTTCCGACCCTGTAGGTAATGCCTAATACTGACTGGTAGTAAATTAGTTGAGACACATATGAGTAACTAAAGTCATATGTTGAGACAATCGTATTAGATACAGGGCTGTCTCTTGTTCCCGAACGAAAAAAATAATAATTAATTGTAGCTTAATATTTTATAATAACTATGAATTAATATTTGTTTCAGATGTATTAAAAGTCCCGTCGAAATAAAAAAAAAACAACTTTCCTGTGAATTATCAGGTTAGATATTAGTTGATAACAGTGGCTATAGTAATGTACGTATTCTTGATTAACTGATTACTTTATATTTAAATATTTAGGCACAAACAGTTTCATAAAAACAACCCTCGACTGATCTCTTTACAGAAAAGTGTATTTAATTGACTTTTATTTTTTTATGTGGCGAAATGTCCAAATAACCAAGAAAAAACTAAAACTGATCCACAAAAATTTATCCTCAAATGTTTAAGTCATTTAGGCATAAAATGGTTTAAAATAAGTTTTGGAATTAACTTACTTAAAAAATATATGTCTTATAAACTTGTTATTAAAATGTACCGTATTAAATCCATGTTTCTGAATCTGTGAATTATTCTCTGCAGGTAATGCGAGTTCTGATTTACGTATTGACCCCAGAAAAATTATAAAGTTATTTGCCATTTTCAGTAAAAGTGAGTGAGGAAAGTCATTAGCTGGTAAAGTAATATTTACAGTAAACTAAGACCCTCTTTAATTTCATGGCATATTTACAAAAAATTAATTCATGTGTGCAATTTAATCTGGAATCATATAGGTATATACTGGAGGGGTCCAATTGAACAATGTTAAATAAGGTATAATAAAATTAAACTCTCAGTTAAAGAAATAAATATACATATTTATTTTTTTTGCAATACAAATTTTATTGTAAATATATACGTGCATATATGTTTATAAATGCAAATCAATTACATTCATTATTTGAATATAAGTTGTAACACAACTGTACTTTGGAATCAGTTATTTGTTTTAACATTAAATCAATTCCGTGATACACAGGTCTTATTCTCTTCTTATAAAATAGGTCGCCTTTAATAGAAATCAATTCCATAACTAAAATGCAATTTATATTATTTAATGAAGTGTATTTCAACATTGTAGTTAATAACTCAATTACTTCTGTGTCTTTCTTTCCAGAAATACAGAATTCATAGATTATTGGAACCAATTTTGAAAAAACAAACTCTCCATACTTAGCACTGACTTCTTCTGCAAACAGGACAATATGTTTTGAATAAAGTTCGACATTATCTCTCACATCTTTTTTAAATCTCAATAAATTTAGTAAAACATACTCTTTAAATGTTTCATTAGGGATAAATATTTTTTCCCATTCCCTAGCAAATTTAGTAACAAATTCTAAATCTCGGTCATCTTCAAAAACTGTTGTGAAAAATGCTTTGAAAAATTTATGAACAACGCTTCGTTCATTATCTTTTGAATCCCAGGACTGCGATTTATAATCAGATACTAATTGGAAAACATTATTTAAATTATTATTTTGGTTTTTATGGTACATTAAAAATTGAATTGTAAATTTAAAAATATTACAAATTTCTTCTTTCTTCGCACATGTGTCAAAATAATTATTTATTATGGCCTTACAGAAATCCTCTGGCAAATTTGAGAGACATTTTTTGTCGATGTTACCTAATACTGTTGACATTAATTTGTTAATACCAACTGCATTTGAACTTGTTTTTAATTTTTCAAATAAATTCCAGAGGTGTGTTATGTAATAAGACTTATATTGTTTGGGAATCTGTGCAGATGAAAGTATCTCCAGTGATTCCATATCATACTCTTTCAAGAACTTCAAATATGAAAGGACTTTTTCAAAATATTCCTGAGTCTGGACCTTTGTAAAATACCGCAAAGAACTTAGGCATACACACTTTTGTAAAGATTCATTTTTATCCTCTTGGAAGCTATTAAATATTTGCCAAACTTTTTCTTGATGGAGCACATAACATGCTAAGTAGAGTCCATGTTTTTTGACAGACATTGCCTTGTTATTAGTTAATTTATCAAGGTATATATCTAACTTATTTTCAGGAGTCTTATGAAATGCAGTATATAAAGGAATTAAAGATTCCCGTAAGTAGTCTCCTTTACAGAATTTGTCTATTAGCACTGGCAGATATCTCAGTGGATTCCATACGTTTTTGAAATTTCTCACAAAAGCTTTTTGAAGTTGATACACTTTCCTCGCCTCAGGATCATTTAAGTCTACTTTAGAAGAGGTGGGTATAAGATTAAGGTCTTCCATAATTTTTATGTAACCCTCAGATTGCTGTAATACTGATAAAGGTTCAACAATTTGATATTTCCGAAAATCATCACCATGTTCCAATAGATGCATACAGTGCTTTATAACCATTTCATCCAAAGACAAATGATTATATCGTTTAATTCTAGTCCAAATAAAATACGATTTTGGTGGCAATGATTCCGTTATCGAATCAAAATTGTTCACAACTACCATAGGGTCATATTTTAGACACCAGCGTAATGTCTACAAAAAAAATATATAATTTATTCGTTAATTCAGCAAAAGACTCTTCAGAAGTAAAAATACAAATATATTATTAATGTTAACGAATCTACATTAACACCTTCATGCTTTTGCCCGAATGTGACTCAGAATTCTATTTTGCACATGCCTAAGTCACACTGGGGCATGAAGTACTTATGTGGTTTTTGCTTTACATCCCCGAATTAGACTGGATTCTTATAAAAGCATGTTTATACACACACATTAAAAGTTTTGAAGGCTGTACTATGTATTCGTAAATGTCTTTCACGATTAAAATACTTCTCAATTCTCAAGTTTTTGTCGACTCTTACTGGAATTTTTCTATAAATCATGTTTGATATGATAAGGAATTACCGGATTTTAAATATGTTAACTTGGATGAAAGTGGATCTGATGAAACAGACAAAAATTATGAAACTGATTCTGGTTCGGATACAAGTAACAAGGAAACAAATTTGCAAGACGCACGAATGTGGTGTCCACTATACTCCGCGGTCGAAATTATAGAGAGTGACTAAGACATAATATAAAAACACTATTACCATAATGCGTATAAAATATAAAATGATTTTTATACGGTATTATTTATCTTTGTGCCGCTCGCTACGCACATCGATAGAATCTATAATTGTCTAGAGACCGAGTTACACTGAACGTCGATCTATATTCTATCTCTGTCTTTTGCACTTGGGAGGGAATAGGGAAATGCTTTTTTAGTGGGTGTAAACGGACTTGATTTAACCCGTCCTGAGAAACGTCATAGCATAAGCGTAGACGAGGGGTCTAATTCTATGGCTATAATAAATTTAATAAATTAAAAAAACACAATTGGGACGTTTTAAAATGCTGTAATAATTAAAATGGATCAAAGTGCCTGTTGTAGCAAACCGTAAAAAATATTAGATGTTATGTTTTATTATCTTTTTTCATTATTTTCTATATCTTGTTGCCTTTTACGCAGACACGCCAATGGATTTTCGTTCCCCGCACGCTTCATCCCCCTTACTAGTTCAAAAGCTAGCGATGAATCACTCTCTATAATTTCGACCGCGGAGTATAAACGTAAACGACATACCCAATTCAGCACTTTTGTGGGAAATTTTTTCACTTTTTGACCTACGTCACTGGAAATCAAAATTTAAAAAGTGACTAAAAAAAATTAGTTGAAAATAAATTGTTAGAACGAGAACATTTCATTTTTGCAATAAAATAATTTGATTTTTTTTACGTAAATTAATATGCAGATTAAGGGATTAAGACTACATTAAATTGTGATTTTTTACCTAATGAAATACTATACTACATATGTATAAATTATACAGGTACTTACCCTATCAAAAGAAAATTGCCTTAAAGACTTATCCTTCAAATAAAAATTTAGAAGTTCATTTTCAAAGTCACTGCGATTTAATTTGCATATAATTCGAGGAAAATACATTTGGAAATAGTGTACGTATTTACCTCCTTTTAAAATAGTCTTTATATGCTCAACCAACGTTTTATTTTCTTCTATGTTGATTGAATTTTTTGTGTATGTTATATTGAACCAAAATATTTTTCCAACAAGTTGACACTTTATATAATACATGTCATCTTCTCTATGATAAGTTTTTATCAAGGAATCAATATGTTCTGCAGCTTTTAACAAGATGATCTTCTGGATTTCCATATTTTTTATGGTATCGAACGCATGAAAGGTGAAGTAAGATTGTACTTGCTCTTTTATGTATTCCAAGATGAAATATGTTTTATCTTCTTCTGAACCATTATTATTAAATAAATAATTAATGTGTTCAATCCTAAGTTTCAAATCGTATGGGCTGTATTCCTTGTTCATACTCTGAGCCATGAATATTTCAGTTAAGTATTTCCAGTGATTAGATGTAAATTTCTTTAAATCAAAGTTAATTTCTAGTGCTATTAGGAATTTATCTCTAACATTTCCATCATCATTCTTGTGTCTCTTGCAGAAGTATTGTAACACCTAAAGCACAAAGTGATTATATAGGTATACAGAGTGGTCCAGATTTAAATAGACAAACTTCGGGAAAGTACTAAACAACAAAAATTAACATCACGTTGATCTATGAACATAGGCGCAAAAAGCCACCGGGGAGAAACAAGGATATCGTTTCCGTATTTAAAGTAAAACTTCTACGCCACTGACTTAATTGGTAATATGATATTAAAAAAAAATTGTTTTATTTTCGTTAAATTCAACGCCCTGTATCTCATAAACGGTGGCTTTCTGCGCCTATGTTCATAGAGGAAAGTGACGTTAATTTTTGTTGTTTAGTGCTTTCCCCAAGTTTGTCTATTAAAATCTGGACCACCCTTTATACATATACACACTGTGGCCTGTGGCGCATTAGGAACTAGGACACCTGTCTAAAAAAATGTTGGTGCTTGAATTAAATGATTCATTATTCAAACAAAAACTTTTATCAATAATGCCTTTTTTTATCTTTTAAAATAAGGTATGTTTACTCTTACGCAAAATAACATTTTTGTGTTTTTGACCCACCGTGTACAACAAAATAATTGAAGTTCGTCATGGTGATTCATATTTTCTAAACAAGCAAAAACTTTTATCAAGAATGCCTTTTCTTCGTATCTTTCACTTTTTGGTCCATTTATCTTCTTGTAAACTCAATCCGCGAACATATTGTATATGGAATTGGTTGTCTTTGTGTATGCATTATGTTTTTATAAATAAGAATAAATTCGCATATATTGTGGATACGCATACACACAATACAAGGCAAGTGAACCATTTTCGTGTGCCATTTCACAAACGACTGGTGGCTTATAACTCACCTAACTGTTTAGGCCTAATATTATAATATAATCATTTCAATGCAGAAATTAAAAAATGTGTTACGTTAAGATCTTTTAAAATAGCTTTAAAACGATTTTTGATTGAAAAATGCATATATACATTGGACGAGTACTTTGCTACCTGATTTCTGTTTATTCTGTTTATTTTATTTTTATTTTGTTTGTGTTTGTATTAGTTTGTAAGAATTGACTGTGACTGTTCCTATACAATTAATTGTANCCTTTATTAATTAATAAAATTAATTTTTGTTTTTAAATAATAAAATCATTTGACATACCCGATGTTACAACAATTGTTCAAAATTTTATCCACCAATGTGTAAACACATTTGGGTCCGTTGCACTCAGTTTCTTCGAACTAACACAAATGTTGTCTTGTTTCACCATAATAACAAAGCTTCACCATAAATTAAAATGATATCCATCAACTCCGAGTACACCATTTTTGACACTAACTACCCAGTTTTGACACTAACTACTAAACACCTATTTAAACACCACAGATAACAGGTAAATATCGCAACGACGATTGCAAAATCCGAATTCAGTATTCGGAGTCGCTGAGGTCACGTGGCGAATGATGCTAGAGACTACAATTGTCCAGCTATGTAGTGGTTGAATGTACTATAACTTCAATATTTTTTTCTCGGAAACTATAAGGATTTTTCAATTTTTTTTTACGATATTGAGTCCATTTCTCATGCTGCATCTATTCCCAAATTTTTTTTGGATAAGTTGTGAATCACCCTGTATAGGTATGACTTCACAAAATTTATAAAACAGATTAAAAGGTCACAAATACACAAAAAAATATTCTACAGCTCTCAATAAACATACGAAAGAAAAAAACCATTCCTTAAAACTAACTAAAATCAAACTAAAATTTTAGGCAAAGAACCAAATTACAACAAGAGAAAAAATAAAAAAACAGTGTTAATGACAAAACTGATACCTATAAAAAATTTAAGTCAGATATCACAATTTAATTAAATAAATGCAATTATTTCTAAAATTATTAATAAAATTGTTCTTGATTGACACATCCAATTGTTAAAATTATGATTTCTTCATTTGTTTCTTTCTGATTTACAATAAATCTGCTAGATGTCTCTGGTATTTTATTTCATTTTATTTTAATTCTTCAAAAATTGCCACCATCCGTACAATCTGATTGAATCGTCGTTTTTGTTCTCATTCGATATCAGTACGTCCACACGTTATTATCGTGATTTTCTAAATTAATATTATTCACAATAAATTTTTAAGTTATGATGCATATCAACATCAAAATTAAATGTAAAATTTCTATATCTATATGGAATTGGTTGTTCTTGGGTATGTATTAACAGAAATTATTGTAAAAAATAGTAATGTATTGCATGCTAAATTGTAAATTATTAAGTAGTTTTATATTTTAAGGTTTTTAGTAACTGACTGCAAAATAATATGTTTTAATTAAAAATTCTTTTGAAAAAATTCCCGATCGGGAAAGATTAAAACACATTTTTTGCTGTTGTTTTCTTTAATCATTTTCTTAATTAGCCTGCAAACTAGAACCTTCAGAACGTTCTTCAGTATCACTTTAAAACTCGTGTGGCCCAAAATCAATGTTTATCAAAGTATATTTTTGTTATAGAGCTTTATAAGTTTTATTTATTGAATTTGTATTTATGTAAAAAAATTTAGAAGCCATTGGAAATGCCTGAAAATTATTGTTATTGTTAATATTTATTTAAATTTCCATTGAGAAAGAAAGGTCCAATAATCAAATTAATTTAAAATGAAGTAAATTTTACGACTAACGGGGTAGTTTTATCTCAAATTTTATATTACTGGTCGGAAGAAAATCTGGAAAGTGTTATCAATTGCAAAAGTCAATACACACAGTCTTTATGGAAGATGCATTTTTAGAAGTTCTACATAATTTAAATTTTGTAGAGAACCGTATGAATCTTCATTTCTAGTTAAACGGTAATTCTGTACTGATTTTGAAATGGTTAAATACCCATTTCCCATTTTCAAAATCTGTGGATAGAGCGTAATAGTCCCTTTGGAGAATGGCCACCTACGGCCCAACACCTGACTCCCTCGAAGAAGGGAACATATGATGAAATCAGTCCAGCTAACTTAGGAAAGTACAAAAATATTTTGAAGCAGCATGAAAAACGTACCAATTCTTTTTGTTTACCTTTTTTTTAACATATAATTTGCTAAAATAAATGTTATTAGCTATTTTTACGTTAATATTTTAGTTTGTTGGGTAAGTATTGTGCAAAACCATACTTATCGTATCAACTTCGACGTCACCTGTTACATGGGTGTTATACAATAATGAAAAGGTAATATTGACAGTTGATAGAAGGCAGCGCAAAAACAAAGGCTTAGGTGGGGAATTCTGGAAGGAAGCCAAGATAGTTGAAGTGAGAACAGTGTGGGGATGGGAGTAAGACGATCAGCAGGCAGTGTGGCAAAATAGTGAAAAATAAAAGTGTTTAACCCGTATTAGTTAGTAGGTAATTATTCTTTAAGTACTTTGTATGTTTACTCTTACTTATTGTTCTATGTAATCTTATGATTGTGATGATTATAGATGTTTAATGATAATAATTCTTCTCTGTACGTTTAGCTTCCATTGCTTTATGCTCAAGGGCATATATTTTTCTAAGGTAAAATTGTTACAATTATTATTAACGATTGCTCATTATATTGTCGTGACTGCCCGAATATTGCAATAATAAACAACTCCTTTGTTTCACATTTAACTTGTTTTGTCATGATTACGTTGTTCGAAAAACAAGTAATAAAGCATTTCTTTCTTGTGCTCACTTTATGTCATACGCATATAAGAGCTTTGTTGAATTTATTAACATTTTCGCCCATGAGGAATGAATCTGTAAAAAGAATAATTAAATACAAAAAAGAATTGCTAAAACAGATCTACCGAAATCTCAACTCATAGCTGGATTGCCTCCCGTATGGGACTACGGTACCTTGTGTCATTGTTATTTATCTGTTATATATTTGTATGAATTCTTATTGTGAATTTGATTGTATTTACTTCCATGTATTGTATTATGTCTCGAGAGAAATGAAGCATATTATTATTGTTATTATTATTAACTTCCGGCCTTGCCGGCTAACTAACACCAAACCTCTTCAGTTTTACTTGGAAGTGTGTATGTCTAATTCGAGTGAGGTGATATTTAGTGAGACATTAAATAAGTCGGGTGCTTTTTATCATTAGCAAAGGATCTTAATGTATGCCTTTTGTTAGCGGTTGTTTTGTATNGGACCGCCAAAAATTTTTTGAAAGTATAAATTACTCAAATAAATTATTAAAAAAATGTTTTTTACGTTTAAGTGCCAATCTTATCATTTTTTCTAGTATTTTACAATCGTGTGAGTGTGCGAGTTCTTAATGGTTAGTAAGCAAATTAAATTTGAGTCCAAATTAAAATAAAAATATAAGAAATATGAATTTTTTTCTGGACCTCGTTAAAAATTTTCGAAAGTATCCGGACCCCATCTAAAATTACTTGCCGACCCCTGGTGTAGAGGAACAATATTGTAGAATAATTATGCCTGCACAAATTCAATAAATAAAACTGTTAAGGCCTCATTAAAAAATTTTTAAAGTAATTTCTGAAAATATCGATTGCAAAAAAAAATTATCGTCTGCAGAATCATCATAATAGATTCAATGAGTACCTCTAGAAGGCCAATATACATATATAAAAAAATCATCAAAATCATATGTGCCAAGTATTTTTAGAAAGGTATCTAGTTCCTTAATCAGCCTCACTGTATTTTTTTTTGTGAATTATCTTATTTACCTCTTCCAAATTCTTTAGATCTTTATTTATTCCACAAGATTTTACCAAAAGGGATACCAGTTTGCTTCTTTTTTTAATAGCAGATGTTTTATCGATTTTTTCTTTGATCAGATTAATAGCTTTACTTATTTCATAAAATTTCAAGTATTCTTCTTTACCACTTTCCTTATATCTTATTTTTGCCCAGGTATCTCTTATTTCTGTATTAGGAATTAAAGCCAAGATATTGTCCCGCATGCAGCTAGTATAATTCCAAATGTCTTCCTTCATGACATTATTAAATGTTTTAGTAAATAAATTGTATTGGTCACTTTTTGGATAATACCTTAAAAGGGTGTTGCACAAGGCATCACCATTTTCTAATGCTTCAATTTTTCTAGGAAATAAATTGTAGTAAAGTTGCTTAAAGTGACCTTGTTTATTTAATTTTCTGACTAAGGTTTCATGCTTTAGATATTTAATGTACTTCTCTGGATCATTTACAATTTCTTGCGTTTTTATAGATATTAACTTTTTGGTAATCCTACGACCTAATTTTAAGTTTTCATCAATCTGGTACTCTCCAATTAATTCTAAAAAGTATACCGAGTTCTTCTCTGCTAAATATGTCATAAAGTTGTTATCAAAAATATTTTTTTTATTGTATTGTTTTTGTTCTTCTAAATACGTATTAACTAAATTAGGATTTTTACCATAAATTATTTTCAGTTGATGAGTTGACAGTTTGATTTTATAATTTTTTAAAGCAGCAGCAATTTTCTCTGAGCTGCACATAGTTATTAATGGATCTGCCATAAATAACCCATACCTATAAAATTGTAATTATTATATTCAATGCTCAATAAGTTACAATAAAATATCTACGATTATTATACAGGGTGTCCCGTAAGTCATGGATCAAACTACTCTGGGTGATAGAGGACGCCATTTGTGTCAAGAAAAACCTCACATGTTGTTATGCAATTGTTGACCGTTTAACAGATACGGGGTGTTGAAGTTTTCATGAAAAAATCAATTTATGTTTGTACCTCCGAAACTAGAAAAGATATTTGAACAAAATTTGTTATACAACATGATGCCATAAGGAACCAAGACTCCTGCTAATATCAAGCTTTGCCGGTCGCCCAGTGGCAGAGATAGGGGTCAGCGAAAATAAATATTTTATAAAAAATAATGTAACACTCGGTGTACGATTTAAAACAATACAAATTTTAGACACACAGTTTAATTGGCAACAAAAAATTACTAGGAGTTTTGGCTTCTTATGACATCATGATGTATAACAAATTTTGTTCAAATATCTTTTCTAGTTTCGGAGGTACAAACATAAATTGATTTTTTCATGAAAATTTCAACACTCCGTATCTTTTAAACGGTTAACAATTGCATAACAACATGTGAGGTTTTTCTTGTTGCAAATGGTGTCCTCTATCACCCAGAGCAATTTGATCCATGACTTACGGGACACCCTGTATGTAGTATTTCCCTATTTTTCAGTTTTCAAATCGTGAAAACAACTGAACACTTACATCAGGGTACAGGTTTGGAACTACTTTAATTTTTGCAGATAAAATAAATCTGCAGTAACTACAAAATAACATTTTTATATTGAAAATTGATTACTATTTCCAGTTTTTACAATTATGAAATTTTGCAAAATTGATGATAATGTTTTTGTCAGATTCACTAATTGAGAAACAGTTGAAATGTAAAATGATATACCAACCTTTTTACAACGTAATCAAAAATTTCATCTATCTCTTCTTCTGTATATACAAGCGAGAGATTTCTTAAGAGCTTTATTTTAATAGAAAAAGAGAGCGAAGGTAAAAAATTGTCAACAAGTGACTTAGGAGTAACATTATTAAAAGCTTCCTGGAAAAACCATTTCTGTTTTATTATTTTACTGACAAAAGCTCCATTTCCTTCTTTAAAAATCTCTAATAATCGATCTGTTTCTCTAAAGGCAATTAAAACATCAATATAAAATAAATTTTCCAGGAATGTCTTTGGACTGAGATTGTCTAATACAACCTGTGTTTCCTCTTTAGTTAGGGATATATTTTTCAGAAACTTGTTCAGATTTCTTTGTCGTTCTCCAACTGATTCTCCTTTTATATCATGAAACCTTGTTATAAAATCCTGCGCCATGGCAAATTCACTGAAAAAGAAAAAAAATAAATAATATATTATTACTTCTAGTAAATTCGAGAACAAATATTTTGTGAAAATAATTCGGTAAAGAAAATCCCTTAAAAAAGACATTCAAAATATCTTCTTCATTCTCCAATACACAGGGTGTTTCCTAAGTATCCTAAATATTAAAGGATCAATTTCCACTGATATTTAAAAAAACTATTCATTTTTACTACAAATGTTGAATACATTTGTCGCAACAATATTTTTTCAAAAATTTTATTATACATAAAAATTAGAATAAAAAATTAAACAATTTTAATGTGCTTTATTTATTTTTGCTGCAATCAAAATTTAGTTTTGAAGAAAAATATCCCCCCCCCCCAAAGTATGTAGTTATATGACTAAAATTTGAGAAAAACATCAACCCTTTCGATCCTTAGATGCCTATGCTGAAAAAAATTACTCGAGCATTTCTCAAACAATTTAAAGAGATCGAGGTGAGAGGGGAAATGACACATGCGCACATCATAAATGTGACGTAAATAATTGTTTTAATATTCAGTATTTCTCAAATATTACTTAAGCTTGTACATTTAATTATTCGTGAGATTTCTCCCTCGAATTTAATCACTTTTTAGTTACCTATTTACATACAAGTCTTCATAAATGATTATAAGCCACGTGATCAGTAATTTTGTTTGGAACAGTAGTTTTATTTCCTTCACGTTGGTAATTAAATTTCATTTTCACAAACATAACAATCTGTTCCACCGGCTGGTGATTGGTGTAATTTTTGAACGAGATTTTATTCAACCAATCGGTGATCGGATTATCTCGAGCGTAAACGTAACGGTCATTGTTCCTTTTAAACGAATCATTAGTGACGCTAAGATTTATTATGTACGTCGAGAAATATTTGAATTTACTTTTAATTGTCAAAGCCTACTGATTAATTCCTTGTCAAATTTGCACAAACATTATCTGCTTTTGTTTATTTAACCATATTTATCTAACCACACCAACCTCTGTACGTCCTAAAAGGGATTAAGTTGGTAACTTTATTGCAAAATTACCTAATATTACTCGGGATACTGGATTCCTTAAATAATTTCTTTTTAAAATATTAAAATTTACATTAGCAGTACTAAACTTATTAAATTTTAATAGATGTTCATCTATAATTAAAAACATAAAATATTAAGTGGTTATTAATTTATTATTACTACGCCTCTGTTATCAAGAAGGTAATAATGAACGCCAACATGTAATAATTCAAATTAGCCTGGAAATTACTGCCACTTTTAGGAAATATTAAATAATAATAATAATAATAAAATGGTCTAAAATTTGAGATACCTAATAATAATTTCTCCATTTATTCTTGTCAAAATTTATTTACTTTTGTGACTCTAAATTATCATTAAATTACACATCCATTATTAATACGTAATAATTAAATTAATTTGAATTTTGTAATTTAAAAATTACATTTTTTATTGATTTAATTAAGGTAGGTATTTAATTTTTAATGGGTTGTATGAATGATTTATAGAAAATGCTCCTAAAGAAAATTAGATCATAAATACCTGTATTTCTTATTAGAAATATATTTCCGTTTTAAATGGGCTACACTGTAACTTTAAAATTATTTTTTCATCTAACTAGCCGTACTGTATTTATTAAGTATGTATACAACTACTACATTTTCTCAATTACATTGTAGGTAAACATTTTAATTTTTATATATAAAACGAAATATACAATATCTACTCGTATTCTACTTTTATCGATTATCTCATATTGTGCAACAATAATATTGAATATCTACATCTGTTGTACAAGAGGATTCCTTGTACTTATTATTGTATTTATATCCTGCTTTATATTGATGAAATGTTTAGAAATGACCTACCCTAATTAAAAATAATAAATTCCACTCTAAACACAGCTATCACTAGTCACCGGTTCTGTTGTAGATTAGAGAAGTATAAGTTCAGTATCGTGCCGTGCGCCAATTTACACTGACATTGATTCAGTTACTGTTACTGGTATGAGTAGAGGTACTATATCTGTTTTATAGGTACGCACTATCAGGTAGAAAGAATATATGATAAAAAAAATAGGTATATTTGCGCCTCCATATGTAGGTATTTATAAATATTAGCAGTAATAGCGGTCCAGTGGCGGAGTAAGAGCTTCGGAGGCCACAAATCCCCAAGCGGCAAGCGCAAAGATCATGTAGGCCCTCTGTTGCTTGGATTTGAAAGGTAGAAACGCACGTGCTTGTAACGTAACGCTTATGCGTTAATTCGCCACTGACTTTATTAGATGAGACATTAGTAAACAATTAATATTTAACTACAAATATATATACTGATTACTACTTGTATTTACGTATTTTTTAAATAAATTCTAATCATACCGATAATGTTTACAAATTATTTCACGTATGACGTGATAAATGTACAACACTGTTTCCAGATACTTTTTAGAAAGAATCGGACCTGAGCCAATGGAACTAGCATTAGCACCAGATTCCTTAAGAAATTTTAATAATCTACATGAAATGCATGTGAATATATAGAAGATATACTCTTATTACACTACAAAAATGTATATAATATGCATACACATATACATATATATGCATCCATACTAATGCATTTTAGCCATGCTGGTTCCATTTGGAATAACAAACAGATAAACAAGCACATTTATGCGTTTTAGTGGTTTTAAGGCTTTTACGGTCCGTGCTGATATTTAAAGTACATGATTTTTCGGGTTGTTATGCCGTGGTCTATGTATGTACCCGGTCGCCAGAATTACCTTACATTTCCCAAACTTCAGCTAAGAATCTTTGATCTGCCTTTGTTGTTCTCGGGCTAGGGGAAGACACGCTATTAGAACTCCTATAGGCACGCATTGATGTTCATTTCGCTTTTCGTTGGTGTCTGCGAATCCTTCACCACTAGAGATGCCGTCAGTGAAACGTTTGGAAGCCTGGATGTGGTCAGTTATAGAGGCTACTACGGAATAATTTCAAAAATCACCGTTGTCTGGTTCCTTCTGTAGTGGCTTTAGAACCAATAAGGAGAACTGATTGTGAAATGAATCAGGGCGGGCCTAGGGTCAAAGATTCTTAGGTAAAACTGAGGAAGGTAATTCTGCAACGTCCTACGACCAGGCATATAGGTTATGGCATAATAATCCGAAAAACCATCATATTTTAAATAATTAAATACATATAATATTTTTTTTTCTAATACCTTACGAAGCAGTGTAAAAGTAATATTAACTAGAGCTAACAGCTATACTGGATATTCTATGGCTAGAAATTGGCCTCAATGATTTGGGATCGAGGGGGATTATCCCTCTTTATCCTGCCTCATCTCGTGTAGGCCTGGACAGCCTTC